ATTTTATATATAGAGATGACGCGGCTTCGTCTGTTTTCTGCTTGAGAGAATGTTTTGCTAGTACAATTTTGTTCCTGCCTATTAAAAATAATGGTCTTGCTTCGCCCGTGATCTGCTTTAGGGAATTTTCCCCGAATATTTTTGTAACTGACAATCAAAAATGATACATCAATATTTTCATAATCATTTTCCGAATAGAAATGACCATTTTTCCCTTGGTCAATTTTTTTTCTTGTCTAAAAATGCGACAATAAACTCTTCCAGATTTCTCTCTCTGTCATGTTAAAATTTCAGCCAGATTAGGTACTTATTAAGGATTTGTATAGCCGACAAACACATACACTGACTTTTATATATATAATAGCTTAAATCAAATTTAAATTTGCCCATGAGACTGGAGTTCAAAGTGATAATGCACTAATGGGATGTAGGAAACATTCAGTCAGGACTTCTTTCTTATCTCCATTCAATAATCATATCAGGGTATCAAACCGGTATAGTGTTGATGGTGTCTGTTGGGGATAAGTAGAGCTCATCAATGGATGAGTCAATACAGTCAATAATGTGATTTGGGGTGGTAGGTTAAGAATTGCACTTAGCACATAGTGGGAAAACCTTTCAACCATTGTGGAAAGTCATTGTCTGTAGATGACAGGAATATTACTATTTCCAAACATCAACTTATGTCTACAAGAAAATAAGACTTAATCCAAATAAATTAATAGTGTGTGACATTTCAGTAACAACATTGTTAACAAAATGTCACACACTATTAATTTATTTGGATTAGGTCTTATTTTCTTGTTTATTCTATAATCCAAATTGTGCTTTTTATAAGTATAACTAGCTCTTTAGTTTGGCTAACACTTGCTGAAATTCAAGTTTTTCAAATCCCAATCAGTCTATTTACTTCAATTTAAGGGACTATAATTCAACACAAGTGACCCTCGGACAATGGTTATAACCATGTTGTTGTTAGAGAACCACATTTATATAATTGGAACTTGACATTTGGGACCATAGAATTATGATTTAAGAAACATATAGTGTTGTGAATATATATTTTAAGTTTAATTAATTGGTTGACATAACTTATGTTAATTGATACACATACTAGTAAGATCTAATCAGATAAAGACCTAGAATATTCAAAAATCTCAAATTAGTCATTTTTAAGATCCATTATGACACTAGGATTGAATAGCTGTCAGCTGCAAACATCTCTAAAAAGTAAATGTGCCTAAAAATTTCATCCAATATCCCAATTTTCTCATTTAATGTAAGAACTTGATTTTTTTTAGAATATTTGCATGCCTATGTGTTAAAGAAAGTTTCCATATATCAAGTTTCTGTTTTTTCTAACACTGACAACTAATTGTCACCTACAAAAATTACTTACTTTTCCTAAACTGGAATAAAATTTTAGATAAGGCATACAAATCTTAGAATAGTCAAGTTGTGATTTATTATAATTTTGAAAATGTTATAAAAGCTTTAAATAAGAGGTCGTCTAATGGATTATTTTCGTTGCTTATTATTTCATATGTAGCAATAAAAAAATTGCCTTATGGCGCCAAGTTAATAAAATCGAACAACCAGTTTAGAAGTTCCAACTTTAGACATTGACATGTAAATTATGAATTTATTAAAATCAAATATAATTTATCAGTAAAATGAAATAAAATTGGTGTATTCATACATTTTTAATTTCTTACCTTCATTTTGCTCGACTTGATCGGCCCAGCTTGGTGCGCTAAAAGAAAATAAAATTATATAAAAGATCATTCAAAATATAATCCATTCATTATACATACTCTAGCATACTTGGCATTAGGAAATATGATATTTTATCATCAAAAAATTTTGAAAATATGAAACCTCTAATGGGTTAAAATTTTAGGCAATATTCAATTGTTTTGCTACAAGATACACGTTTGTAAATTTTCAAGGGTCAAAAAAATATTATTGTTACTTCACCACAAAAGCTTTTTTTTTAATTATAATTATTGAGAGCTAAAATATATATTAAAATATTTCACTAACATCAAAAGAGTGAAAGAATATTTAGAAATGCCAGTAAAAAGTTTGTTTTTTAATATGAATATTTTTTCTATATAGCTGTTTTTAGGCGTAATATGCCTTCATGCTATTAAATGGGGGAAAGGGAGAGAATATAGAGTTATTAAAAAAAGATAGAGTTTATACTATTCACATTTTCATTTCAATTTAATTCACCATTTTTATATTGTAATCATTAAAAGTACCTAGCTATTAAAGATTTTAAGATAGATTTTAGGTGTTAAAAAATTGTACTTTTTTTGGCAAAGAAATTTAAAAAACAAAAAACGGGAAATTTGTGCATCGAAAATATTCATTATAATAAAATGTTCAATTGCGCACACACACACAGAAAATTTTCAAAATTATACTTTTCTTGTTTTTAGTAGAAATGTGAAGATATTTAAAATATTTATTGATTCCAAGTCAATGGTTATATAAATAAGCAAAAATGAGATATTTTTAACCCAGGTTCCTGGAGCGCAGAATCCCAACCATCCTGTTCAAAAATGACAAAGGGGAATATATGCAGTAATATGTACAATTTTAGTCAACGGGGAGGCTCCTCCAGCTTGAGAGAGTCCTACAGACAAGAAAGGGGTCTTCTCCAACCCTTCTCAACACCAGGCAGAAGAAATACTTATATATGTACCCCTTGACAGACGTCAGGATGGTCAATAAATCTCCATCAATGCCTCGTTCCAAGACCCAACCCTGTAGGTCAGGAGACTACTGAATGAGAGGCCTGATGCAGAGGCAAGACCAGTACCTTTGGCCAGCAACAGGTTTTTGAACCCAAAGGCGCCGCAAGACTGTGGGTCAGGAAGGTGAATAGACAGGATAAGGCAATACTACAGTGGAAGCCTCACAGCCACGCCTGTATTGTGGCCAGAGAAGGCGCAACGCCGATCCATGGCCAGCAATGGTGATGGGCTGGGCAACCATGCACAGACGCTCCTGCATTTGGCGGACAGGGCAAGTGGTAATTTGCAAGAAAAGGTAGTCATCAGCACAGCAATAGAGCCTCGCCAACCCGAAAAGACCCGTGCAGGTTTTCGTCGATCAGTAGATGGTAGAGGCTAATCAGCTACGCGGCGTTAGCCAGGGTGCATGCGTTGAGCTAGTGAGGGGAGTGGCAGGGCTGGTGAAGTCCACAACGCAGGCACCGACCCTCCGCCTCTGAATATTGACCAGCCTGACACGTCGCGGCTTTAGTCAAGACCTGGATGAAGGGGATAGGGCCATGCGCCATTCTCGACCAGACAGGAGTAGATGTTGCGGAAGCCACGCAGCATGGCTTGCACGCCCTTGAAGCATGCCAGACGCAGCTGCGTGCTGTTGTTGATTAGCTCTAATACTCCCAGTGAGAGGAAACTCTCTAGGAAAACACTAGGCAACCAGGCACCGCTCCGACCTCAAGACGAAATGCGCTAGACTGGCTTGCATCTTATATATGGTTTTGTCTATGGGCAGGTAGTCATGGATGTGAATGAAAGCTTTAGGGAGTTGGATGCTTTGGCCCGATCGACCAGAAAGAGGCCGCAGGTGTATGGGGCCCACCTTGCTATGGCAGCCCCCAGTAGAGCCAGATGTTGTCATTGGGTAATGACTAGACCTTCAGTGTCACAGTGCAGCCTTGAACCTTCGGGTGCTCCAACGACGAGGAGCTGCCTACTAAAAATATATAAGAATATTAAAAGGTAGAGAAATGATGGAACACAAACAAAGATAAGAAAAGAAATTTATTTGGATCAAAAGGCTCTCCAACTTATTTACAAGAAAAAAAAAAGAATAAATGAGAGAAAGAGTTAAGTTAAATAGTAGGTAAAACAATAATTTATTGAATAATTTAAAAAGACGCTGCCACATATAGATCCTTCTCTATTGGAGCTGTGACCTACAGATTCCAAATTTTGTTGCTACTAATATGTAATGTTATTCTATCAAGTTTTCCCCTCAATGTCTTGAAGTTGTCCATAGTGGCTTCATAACTGCGTCTATATAGACATTGTCTTCTTGGAGAGAAGTCTTGGATTTGACATGTGGTGAAATTCTGGAGTTAGTCATGGTAAATGTAGTCCACATTACCCATGGCCTAAAGGTTGGCTTAATATTGTTAATTTGTTCTCTATTCTATCCATCATCTCCACCAAAATGTCAAATAGAAAAATGAGGGAAGATACACATGAAGATGGCAAATAAATTTATTTTTACATTAATAACTATGAGTAACCTGGATTCCTGGAGAACGCAGAAGTCGCCTACTATGTAAGCAATTTTGATAAATAATTGTGTGAAACTCGACCCCTGGAAGTACAGAATGGTAAATTTTGATTAAAACAATCACCAACCTATGAACATAAAACGTAGATGAACTATGAGAGAAAAAAAACTAAGTAACGAAATATGTAACACAATAATATATTTCAATTTATATAAAAATATTCTGTCACAATATATTTAGAGACATGAGGTATAATATTTTAATTACTAGAGATTTGTTCCTAGATGAAGTATAATATGTGTATACTGAGAAAAATAAATATTATGTTGGTCATCTCTCTCTCTCTCCCTTGATCTTACAGTAACGCGGCGCGTGAACTTTGCGATTTTTGGTTGAATAATTGGTCTAGATGGAGATTTACAACTCCTATGGGCAGAAACCCAAGAAGATTTCATGCACGATGTTGTGATTTCCAGCCCAGAAATCTTTCGTTTCTATATATATAAAAGTCAATGTCTGTCTGTTTCGCGATAAACTCAAAAACTACCGAACCAATTGGTACCAAATTTTGCATGTCGCTTTTTATAAACCTGAGGAAAATTTTCGGCTACATTTTGATTAGTATTTTTGGCTATTTCTTTTTTTCATTTGAAGAACTTTTTTTACGCGGAGTAATCCGGAATGGAATGAATACCCAACTATGGCCATTTTTTTTATAAGCATCGGTGGTTCAGTGGTAGAATGCTCGCCTGCCACGCGGGCGGCCCAGGTTCATACGGGAATACGGGAAGACGATAGGCTATTTAAAAATATATATATTAATCAATTATTAAAACTATATATTTTGTCAGAAAATGATGATGACGATATTGCTGTATCATGTTTGATTATCAGATACAAAATTATATGGGAAAAATTCCAAAAAGCAGAGACCACGGGTGAAACCAGTTCAATTATTTTGTACGCAGGAACAAAATTCTAACAGAAAAACATTCATTTGAGCAGAAAACAAAAGCCAGATCTTCTTTCTATAAAAATATCGCTTCTCAGACACAAAGTTTGGAGCGGGACGTTTCACAAGAGTGACATCCACGGCGCCAATTTATAATTGTAATGAATAGTATTTGAATAAAAAACATTTAATGGGTAAAACCTGGGCGTTGCCCAGGTCATTAGGCTAGTATTATATATAATATAAATATATATTATTATATCAACTATATTAATTAAATCAAATATCTAAACACTAATATAATACAATTTTTGCCATCACACAAACTTTTTTCCTGTAGTTTATGTGTTACTTCTGTATTGCTATTCTATGGCACTTCTAATATTTATTATTGATGTACTTTCAGTATGAAGGAAATTGCAATCGGAATTCTCGGGCGGAGCCGGTCATACATCTAGTACCTGATAAAAATTAGAAAAAGAAATTTCATTCCTGAAAAAAGCTGTATCAATAATTAATTCAAATTATGCTAATTTGCCTTCATTACTAGAAGTGAATATAAATTCTTGCCTAAAAAGCAGTGATTGGTCTCAAATAATAGAAGAAGATAAATCTGAAAAGGTTATCAGATGGAACGAAAGAAAAGAAAGCTCTCATCTTCTGAACAGGCTCGTTAATCTCAGCCTGGCACATTTCGCTAAACCAACACCACTCAGGACAGGGGACAGCACACCAACGAGGAGGTATGCTGTAACGCAAATGAAATGCAGCAAACAACAGCAGGCCCTGAACAAGTCTAGGTCAGCTGCAGCAACCTTTGACAAATGCGGCTTTGTGGAGTGGAGCTCTAATTTATTTCTCCAGTGGACTACATGAAGACCCTGGAGGAAATGCTTGAAAAGTCATCGACATTCTAAATAATGAAGATGTCAGATCAAGTAATGGTCAGGCTGTCCAGCATCAACTTAGCAGAGTGCCTAATTGAAAAGGACCTAACCATTGGAACCACCCTCCTAACAGAGAGGCCTTAAACCTTCTGAATGAAGGATGGAAACTCCACTACCTCCCTGACAAACTGGTGAGCATCTCTAAAGGAGAATACACACCATCATAGTCACCAAACAATGTAGCAAATATCACCGCCACGGACATTGGTGAACCATCTACTCCATTGGAACCCATAGAAGCCGTCCTGCCCATTTTCAGGAAAACTAGAGTGAACTGGTTTTGCCACCTCCACTTTCCCAACCTACGCCTTTCTAAAATTTCAGCGCCCTTCATTGGGTGCCATGGGTTCTAACACTATCATACAGACCTATATATTACCTTCAAGTTTTGTCGAGTATTCGCCAGCGGCAAACAGCCGCTGCTCTGGCGACGAGCACCAGCCCGCTTTCAGCGCTCTTCTCCACTATCACTGCCCCAACAGTAGCCCCTGCCAAAGACCAGGTCAAGGCTACCCCAACCTTCCAATTCTCAAGCCTCAACCCCCAAAATATCAGCATCCTCAGACCAAAATGAAATAGGTGAAGGAGCTATTCTTTACCCAGAATCCTTATTCCTTTCAAGACCCCATATGTGATGCTAAATATAGAGAAGTTATAATAAGAGAAGTTTTATATCCTGTTCTAAAAGGGAAAATTTTCTTTTTCTTCTATTTAGACACGCCTCTTCTGAGTAAATTCCTCGGCATTTCAATACTGCATGTCGGGGGAAAAGAATCCTGATCTACGCGGGAGGTTGTCTCTTAGACTTCAAGGCGACTTGTGACAGATAATGAATAAGACCACCTTTCCCCAGTGAGATTTGTCTGATGTGAATATATACTGTAATGATTGAAGTCAATAAACATTTTTAATTGTTGATTATCTCTTTCTCTTAAAAAAGCGATGTTTATAGACATTATAGTGGTATACCTCTTTTTTGTGGCTTTAAGCTGTAGAATACTTGCAACCTATATGTATATAATATTATATGAAAATAATTATAGCTCAGCTGTGAACCTTATTTAGAGAGATAGAGATTTAAAGATATTCTAGTAGAAGTAATATATAGGTAACCCGTGTTCCTGGAGCGCAGAATTTCAAAAACTTGGGCATTATTTACATAAAATCGAAGAAAGGGAAATACTATTTTCATAAAAATTAATATTATGTGTGTGTGTAGACATATGACGAAAGTTTAAAAAATATGAAATTTAAAAATACCATTTTGAGGTAGACAAAAGCATTTAATTTTATTATGTATTGAAACCTTTAAGCATTAATACCCATTCAAATTTAACAAAGATAACTTAGACTTATTTAGAATATAAGTTTGCTAATTATATATATATATATATATATATATATATATATATATATATATATATATATATATATATATATATATATATATATATATATATATAATGCAATATTGTAGAATATTGCATCAGAGTCAACAAATTTTTAGTAAACGATATTTTTGGATTTAAATTAATTTCTATCCATATATTATAGGCACAAAATAAAAAGCCATTAATTTTAAAAATCCTAATTGAATTACAATATCTTTTTTAAATTTAAAAAGGGGAATTTTCTTAAAATATCATCAGATCACCAATTAATAAACATATTATAAAACTAATGTAATAGTTATGATATTTCATGAAAATAATAAATACTAATTTAAACAATCTGCACAAAAACTAATATTTATTAAAGAATTATTTCATTGAAAAAGTATATTTTAAAAAATTAATCTGATGTAACTGTGATGACTGTTGTTTTTGGGCTATCGTAATTATTGTCATAAGTTCAATTTTCATGCTCTAACTAATAATTTTATTTACTTAGAATTGACTTAAATTTAAAAAGCAATGGCACTTGAAGCATATCTTGGTCTTGATTTCAATAAATTTGAAAATAAGAGAAATGAAAATCTCGGCATTTTCGACGAGTACGATACACTTTTCACGGGTAATTTTACCAACCTTGCAATGCCACCATTTTCTGATCCCAAAAATGATATTAAAACCCTTAGCCGTGATGAAAGTGGAAAACCAATTAAAATGAATTTTGAAAAGGGTACAACCACCCTTGCTTTCAAATACAAAGGTGGTGTAGTGATTGCAGTTGATTCAAGGGCTACTGGAGGCAGCTATATTGGTTCTCAGTCTGTTAAGAAAATTATAGAAATTAATGATTATCTTCTGGGAACCATGGCTGGTGGTGCAGCAGATTGCACTTATTGGGAACGTGTGCTTGCTCAGAGATGCAGAATCTATGAGCTGCGTAACAAAGAAAGGATCTCTGTTGCTGCTGCATCCAAATTGCTGGCCAACATCATGTTCTCCTACAAGGGAATGGGTCTCTCCATGGGTGTGATGATTGCTGGGTGGGACAAGAAAGGACCGGGACTCTACTACGTGGACAATGATGGTACAAGGATCCCTGGAGACAAGTTCTCCGTTGGATCAGGTTCCACCTATGCCTACGGTGTGATGGACTCTGGCTACCACTACGACATGCCAGATGAGGAGGCCTATGAGCTGGGCCGCCGTGCTATCTACCATGCTACGCACCGTGATGCCATGAGCGGAGGTATTGTCCGTGTGTACCACATGAAAGAAACCGGCTGGGAGAGGATCAGCGAGCAAGACTGCACCGAACTTCACTACAAGTACGAGGCGGAGAGAAAGTAACTTTCACCCAGTATCACACTGCTGTCTCAATTATCTAACTTTTATTAAATATCACTTTTGGATTCTGACAGCATTTTTTTACCTCCTCATACACTTTCCTAATCATTTAGTGTGTTGGCAATATAATAACATAGGGGCTCAGTGGAAGGATGGTCTAAACCATTGGTGTTCGACCACTACGACCTGGGATTAAATCCTATTTTGGGCACTTTTTTCCATTAATAATTTTAAAAAAATGCTCTAATGGCCCCTGATTCTTGCAAAAGTTCAACCTCACCAGTGAGTGCAAGTAACCAAACGGGGCTCTGGCACATTTTTAAGTACAAAAGCTGAACTGCTTTTCACATGTGTAGACATGTGGTGCACACAGTAAAAAGTAGTCGCTAACTTCTACCCACCATGATTATCATGGCCTGTACCATGTGTACTTGGGATAATAATAATAACATGCAAACTCTGAACTAGCTCCTTAGTTTGCTAACCCTAATCTAGCGTAGTGTTTACAAGACAAGATTCTGTAAGTGATAAGGTACAATTTGAATTATAGATTACAAACACAAGGTAATAAAACCAAATAAATAAATAGTATGTGACGTTTTGATAACAACACATTTGCTGAAATGTCACACTATTTATTTAGATTTGGTCTTATTACCTTGTTTGAAGATTCTTTGAGTGTAGCTTCATGTTATGTAAGTAAACGTGGGAGCTAGTCCTGAGACCACCCACTTATATAAACACATGGGAAATCTGAAAACTAGTTATGTACTCTGAAATTCCTGATTGGATGATGAAATCTCTATATACAGTAGAAACTCCCTGTAAAAGACAACACCTAATTGCAGAGCCAAAGTGTCCTTTAAGGAAAGGTGTGCTCTTACCGGAGAGTTGCTAAATAGTAAAAATGGTCATTTTACAAATGAAAACTGTCTTTTATAGAGAGGTGTCCTCTCATGGAGGTTCTACTGTATATAAGAAGATGCTTCATTTGATTATTTCCCCCTTCCATCCTCTGCAGAAGAAACAGGACTGATGAAAGCCTTTGACAAATAGAATGTATCTAAACCATGTCTTCTATCTTTAGGACATGAAAACATTACGACATGAAAGTTTCTTTTACACACAAAACAACTTCTACTGTCCTTACTGTGATAAAATATTGGGA